TCTTTCCAGAATCTGGAAATCGCAGGAAAAAACGAATGATTTAACTGATTAAAAGGTTGAGTTAATACTTTAATAAGATTGACTTGTGCAGGGAGTTTCAGACGATTCTGATAACATTCACAAGTGTAAAGCATCTGATGGCAGCAAATTATCATGGAAGCTTAATCAAGTAGAGAAATGATAAAAATGTAAAAGTCTAATATTTCAGAAAAGCGATTAAAATAAATGAACAAATTCTCATGAATTTTCAACTTTTTTTCTGCAAATATTTTTCAACAACGCTTTTTATATCAATTATTATGAAGGTTAAATGAACTTTAAATGTGTTTAAAGACATAAAAATCTGGTCAAAGTTAATTGAAACTCGCTGTAATGTTGATTTGACGTTGAAAAGTTGATCATTATTTACGATGATTACTTTGATTAAATTATTATTAGCAACTTTTTCTCATTAAATTTTCTTCCCATCACTCCAATCTATTTATTCGGTTAAATGCCATTTTTTATCCAAAACATTTTCTCATCTTATTTATCATTTGATGCTATTTTCAAGTGAAAAGCAGTAACAGTAAAAAGACAAAATTTATAAAATCTTTTGATTCCAAGAATCAACCAAATTTTTCATTCACTTTCAAAATAAACTCGACCAGAGCAGTAAAAGGGACCAAAAAAGTTACATTGTATAACCTAACAAGCAACTATTTTCATGCACGATTTCATCCAAGCTCAGTGTTGACAATTAAAATGGTCACAAAACTTTTGACCAATCACTCTCGACATTAAAGGCAACAACTAATGAAGTTTAAAGTATCAATTTGATCTTCATTTCCAAATAAAATTGCGAATAAAAATCATCAACTCAATCTCGAATTATCCGTTTCTCCTTTACTCCCATCAACTTATCATTTCATTATAAATCAGAATCTTCATTATATCCTGAAATGACGATTTCAAGGTGAAAAAAGAATAGAATTTTAAGTAAAAACAAAAAATCGAACGTGTAAAAAGTAACATTTACTGTTCATTTCAGTTCATTTTGTTTCTTTTGCTACTCTTTTGTCACTCTTGTTTGTTCATTTTGACATTTTAGGTTTTCTGGTTTTGTTGCATTTCTTGCCTTAAAACTCTTGGCATAATAGGAAGACACCAAAAAAAGAGTGAAATTTGTCAAATGGTGAAACTGGCCATGAGTTTGTCTGTCAAGATACATTTTGATCAATTGGTTAACCATTTGAGTCGTCCTTTTTTCTGGAGCAAAAAAAGTGATTTCTCAACTGAACCTTTGTTTCATGGGTGCAAGTTGCATGATGTATCATTGTAAACTCTTTTCAAGTTATTGATTCAAGTCGAGTTCATTTAATATTTTCAAAAGTTTACGAAGCTCATCGAGAGAGGAAAAAGTCTCAACAGTCGATCAATGAGTCTGAATTTTGTGTTTTTATTTCTCTTCTCGTTTAATATTAATAAATTGAAAAGTCGAGTTGATTGAAAAAAGTTATGTATTTGGGTTCAATTATTTCAATTGTAGGACAACCTTCATCAACTATACTTTGCCATTTTCCTAATGATGATACAGAATGTTACATCTTTTCCTCCAGAATCAAATTCTGATGATGATGATGATGATGATTGCAATTGCTCTGCTGTTTTGAGACACTTTCGTCTTGATATTGACTGCAAAGTTAATGACGTTCAATTGACAGAAGAAATAAAAACACGAAAATGTGAATTTATGTTTTGGCACAACAATAACGATTGTTTACTGTTGATATTGATGTTTTAATATTTCATCCTTTATTCAGTAAACAAGTTGAAAGTGAAATTTTCATTTCTATTCTTCAACTAATGATTGAATATTAACTTGAATCGATTCAACCAAGTTTCCAGTGATTGATGAGATTGAATCATTTAAATGTGCAAAAGTTGGCAATTTAAAAATACATAAATTGTCTGCATTATCGTTACAATTGACGGTTAAATATGCAGCGAAACTCTTGAAACTTTTCATATTTAAAAATTGCTTTGAAAACGATTAAGAGAAATTCAATTTTTTCCAATTTTCTCTTCGAGATTTCACTGATTGATGAAAGAATCAGAATCGTATTAATCACCGTTTGGTGTAATAACCATGAGAATCGTGCAATATATACATTAATGGTCGAGTTAATTGGGTTTCAACCGAGAATTGACGATCAATAATCTGGCTCGATGGTAAACTTCATTGGCATTTTCATTCTTTTCATGATTATTGTATCAACTTTTCATTAATCACAAAACCCTTTTCATCATTCCCTGCCAACTTTATTAGTTTACTAATTACTGTTGATCAATTTTTTGCCTCAACTGTCAATAAGTCAGTAAATTGTTCAGAAGTAAATGAATATGGAAAAAAAGAGTTGAACAGTAAACGAAAGACAAAAGATTCTGATTGAATTGGAAGACAATAAATCTTGATTAATATCTTAAACATTAAGCCAACTAATAAAATTGTTGATTAATGTATTGAATGGGAAGAAGCAAAGTGATAATGAAAAAAGGAATAAAATTGCCAAGGAAAAGTTCCAATTCAATTTGGACATTTCAACTGGATTAATGTTCTTTGACATGTGATTTGCATGATTCAAGATCTCATCAAGATTTCCGGTTACATGGAATCACGTTTTTCATCTCTGATTACTTGCAATTCAATTCATTGGCTTATACAACATTGAAAGACATTCAATTCTGGCTCATTCAACAAGCTGAAAACTCTCAACAATCAATGAATGGAAATTGAAAAATGGAAAATCAATAGACTATAATCAATGATAACATGAAAAATGAATGATAATTTCAGTTGAACTTTTTATTCCAGAGAAAAGAAGGAAAAAAAGAAAAGTTTCAAATTTTACTCCATTTCGAGATTCCATTTACTTGATTCATATCATTACGATCAATCCAAGAATTACTTTAATCATCATCAACATTTGATTAAAGTTTCAACCTTTGAATAAATAATCACGGAATAATTCAAGTAAATTTGTTCTTCTCCTGATAACCACTTGCAATAAAAGGAATGAAACTTTTGACTTGCTCATGAAACTTTAACCAGTTTAAACATCAGTATTCAATGGACATTACATGGACAGTGAGTGTTATCAAGATTATTCATTTAGACTGATTGCATGTCATCTGTAAATGAAACCCAAAAGTGAAACACTTTTGTTTTCACCAAAAATTTAATTCAATTTTTATTCGCAATTCCATGAGGAATCATTTCTTGAAAATTGATCAATCAAGTCAAATATGTAAACACAGGGAATCTTTGCTATTCATTAATCAAAGATAAAAACAGTTTCAATGATAACCATGTTAAGGTCAGTTAACTTGAACACAATGAAATGACTGCAAAAATTCAAAGCAAAAACTTACAATTCCAAAGTAAAATGTAAATTAATTTTCACCAAAATGCCAATTCATCTGAATATTGAACTTGATGTCCAGATACTTTACTTGAACCTTTGCATTTCCCAAGTCAATTGGTAACCAACTGAACCAAAAAAGCAACATCAAGACTAATATTTTATTGATACTATTAAAGTATCATTAACATCCTCAACTCCCAGTTTTCCCTCCTAATGATAATAATCTGTTGGGAGTGAAAAAAAAGTTCAATGGAATAATTCAATGATTCTGTTGGATTGGTGATGGAATGAAGAGCGAGAGAGCAAAAAAATATGAGAAAAAGAAACAACAAATGCTACAGAAAAAAGGTAAATGATAATGATGATAATTTGCCATTATGGACGTCATAAATAAGCCTGGTTGGATTGTTGATTAATGTTGATAATTAGCCAACCATTGAGAGATTACAAGTGCTAATGGAAAGCAAACAAATGATTAATGAGTTATAAAATTGAATGTCTTTTGCCAATAACATTTGACTCGAATGTTTTCCAGAAACTCGAACTCTTTTGGTTCACCATTTTTTGGAAAAAAATTTACTTGGAAAAGTTGAAGTCCATTTCGTTGGTTCAAACCTTTCAACAGATGAACTTTTTCCATTCATTTGCAAATTGATTTTCAATTGTTGAACTTATTGATCAACTTTTTGCAAATGAAAGTCGAGTCTTGTTTCGCTCTCTGGAATTGAATTTTACATTTTTGTTTGATATTATTTATAATGATATTTGTTGCAGTTTACAATTGTCAATGAAGGAATAATGAAATATTAATGAAAAAATAATTGCATTTGGTTTCAATTTTTGATGAAATTTTCACCATTCAATCCTTGTTTCATTTTCACTTTTTTTCACAGACAATTGATTCACAGTTTAGCCAGTTTTCATTATCAATTTATTGAATCCATTTCACGATCCATTAAAATTGCATTAATATTACCATAAATCTTTACAGGTAAAAACTTGAAGCATCATTTGTTAGACTAAAAAACAGTAAACCTTGGATTGAAAATGATTTAAGCTGAAAATGATAAACTAACCAGATTTGACTAACTTGCAAAAATGGTAAACATTGAAGCGTCTTCTCTAGACTATTGATTAATTGTTAAAGTAATAAATTAATAAATTATTCAGTGTTTCAAGCTCGAAACTTTTTTTCTCAACACAAAAGCCATTCAGACATTTCATTGAGCAACTTTCAGTTTATATTGTCATGTAATCTCCAGTGGATTCAATTGTTTACCTTCAATCGTCGAGGTAAACAGAAGCAAAATCATTTGTTGACTTGTAATAACACCTGAAGCTAATAATCCTAATTGTGTTGAACAAGAGAAGAAAAATTACAGCCAATGGACAAGACACATTAAAAGAGTTACAATTGTGTCTGGATAAGTTGACATCAATGAAACAGATTAATCGAAGAAAGAAAAGAACAAGAAAAGGCGAAAATTTCGTAAAAAATTTCTCCACTGAAAAGATCATTTCTACTTGATTAACAATGAAATTGCCAAATGAAAAAGACCGATTTCACGATAATTTCCTTTTCTTTTTTCCAAACAGAAACATGATTCGATAAATTAATGGTTCATCTGAATGGTTTCAGGTGAAGAGTGATCAACTGTCTCAACCTAATCATCTCGATTGCCATGCATTAACCTTGTTTAAGTTTGAAGACTATTGAAGACATAAGCGATGAACTCATTGAATTCACTGACAAATGCAAGTGCCGATGATTCACTGGATACTTTAACTTCAACTGTAACACTGAGTTCATTTTCAGTTTCCGATATAATTGGAGTTCCAACGGTCAAAACCAATGACGGCGTCATGCTGGTAAACCTTTTCAAGCGATTCAATGAGACACTTCAAGGATTCACTTCTCGACCCAAAGTTGAACCTCCAACTGATGAACACATAACCGACAATCTTGGCATGATTATACCACTGGGATTTGGCTTGTACAGTTTGAGTTTAATCACCTTTTTTGGTAATGCAATGGTTGTTCATGTAATCAGGACTGAACGTAAACTGAGAACGGTAAGAAACAATTATTGGTTAAACAAAATTTAGATTCCAAGGAAAAAAGAAGAAACTTTTTCTGCAAACTTTTCTTTTCTCGTTTGTTTTCTTTCTTTTTTTCCAATTTGCTATTCCAATTCAATTTGCTGTTACAATCTTGGAAAAACATCATTATCATGAAATAATGATGAACATTTCCATCTCAACATTTACTTTTATCAATAATTTTGGATAATTGTTTTTCTTTTGTTTCACTGTTGCACTTTTCAATGTTGATTAGTTCTCATTAAGTATTCATATTAACTTGATCATCAACCCAAACCAAAGAAGTGAAACCTTTTTCCTCTTGATTTTTCTTCTTCCTTCTGAATGATTCTAATGATTATCAAACAGAAACCACCAAATATTGAGCTCATTTTATTTGCTTTAATTATTATCAATTGTTATTCTTAACATGATCATGAACATGAAGAGAAAATAAAGAAGCGACAAACTTGCCTGCAAAACGTTTCGAAATCAACTGCAAATTCGAGTTTTGTATTCTTTTTTTTCTTCTTCTTCATCGACCATAAAAAGTCTTATGTTTGGAGCATGAAAATTGATAATTTGGTGAAAATTGTTTCTTCACATTCAAGCTTGTTTCATGTTTTCAGTTTTCATTGTTATGTCAATGTTTCTGATTAGTTTTGAATGTAATAAAGTTTGGAGGATGAAGAGAAATACTGGGAACACAAAATGGTTTGGAATTTCGTTATCGCCTTCTTTTATTGATCCTGTGTATATTTACTACTACTTGCATGGATTTTGGAAATAATTGATATTCTAGAGTCTCTTTCAGTGTCTTATAGCTTCATTGATTGATACTTTTAGTCAATGAAGAGTCAAAAAGGTTCAACTGATGAATGAATCTGACGGGTGAAACGAGCAGACAATATTTCAAGTTTACTCGACTGGATGCAAAACTGTCAAAACTCTTATAACACCATCCCTAAACTGTTCAACTTTTCTCATGAAAATTTCTCAGTTATTCAAGTTTATCTTTTCTTATCCGTTAAAAATCGGCAAATAACTTTCAGTAAATATTATAACTTAGGTTTCAAACTTTTCACAAGTAAATCCATTTCATGGTGAGAAGCAAAGTTTGCGTTGAGAACATTTGCAATCCTTTTGGCCCGAAAAAGTTTCAATTCACGTTTAAAGTTTACACAAAACTTTTCATTGTTCAATAACTCATCAATACGAAAGCTCGAAGAAAGTCAACATTTCAAAGAATATAAGTGTTTAGCTAAAAGAATAACCTATTTTCTAAAGAACCTGGGAATGAAGTTTCTGTTTTCAGTTCAAAGCTTTGCAAGTCAAAATTCAAAGAGATTTTGCAGATTCATACAGAGTCGATTCGATTTCTTGGTCCTCTGTTTGCAATTTCTGATAATCATTGTTTACGATTTGTTGGTTTAGTTTTAGCAGAAGAAAAGTACTGAAAGCATCAAAATATGGAATGATAAAAGTCACTGAATCTATTGTGATCTCTATCTGCATCAATCATTACTATTGCAATGAGCTAAAATCGACTGTCAATCAGTCGCAAAATGAATCGATGATTAGCTTGGAGGAACTTGAATGAAACAATGATAGAAGAAAAAATAAGAGGCAAATTAGCCTTTTATTTACCTCATTAAATGACTTTTGCTTTGTAAGTGTTTCCTCAAAGGCATAACTTATTGCTGTTGCGCCTTCAATTGTTTCTCGATTCACATTGAAACAAACATAATCATTAACAATACAAAAGTGGTAAGGGTTAAGGTTAACAAAACCAGAGATTTTTTCAAAACGTTGATCGCCCTTTTGCAGTACAAATTTCTTGCTTTTTTGTTAACTTAATGTTAGTCTAACGGTTAGCATTGGGTTAGCGTTTGAATCTCACCAAGTCCCGAGGTTAGGGCAACATAGAAACGTGCTTAAGTTGAACTATTCAACCTCACTTCCTGATAGATTTCCAGGCAAGATGGGTTGCGTCTTTTTAAGAGGTAAAACACCTAAGTAGCAAGGGGTAGAAGGTGCCTTTAAGGCTGCCGTTGTTGGTCCACATGAGCAAAGTTGACTTATTAATAACCTAGAATACTATTGATCTTCAACTCCATCAGTAAATCTCATTGATAATCATTATTTTTCTAGTAAACAAGACTCGATGCATTCAATATATAATGAGCAAAACTTTCATGTAAACCTTTAATTGTTTCAGTTGTAAATGATGATTGGAAACTAATTCACTAAAAGAGTGAAATTTAAAATGGAAATGGTAAAAAGATTGGTTCGTAATGATGATTTGAATGCAATTTCCCTGAAAACTTCATTAATTTTAGCTTTAATATTATTTACTTGGCAAGTTTAAAGTGATTAATCGATTCAATGGTCCGTGTTTATTTGTTAATAACCAAAAAATGACCAATATGCTCTTTTAAACTGTTCAACTGTTGACAAGTTTGACTTTAGTTAATTTAAACTGTTAATAAACTTTAAAAGGATGCAATTTGCATGGAAATGGATTAGTAAAATTAATGAAACTTTTTCGCTTAACCTAATTATCTTATCGAAAATCTGTTAACCTGACCAAAAGGATTAAACACAAATTATACTCTGGACGAGCCACACTTTTCGAATATAAATATTAATGTAATTCAAGTTAGAGACCATTTTACAAACTATTGTTATTCATGCAATCCTTTTCTAATGAAGTTTCAATTTTAGATCTACTTTTGTTGTTCAAAGGTGAAAATGCAATTATTAGATTAACATTTGCATGTTGAAACTAAGCCCAAATCAGTATGCAACTCCATGTACAAAGAGGCTGATAACGACTTCACTGAATCCTAATCTGATTAATAAAGAGCTTTCAGGTGTTTTATTGATGTTTTTTGGTAAACAGATTCACTAATTCAGATCATTTACTTCAAACGTCAAACATTATCGATTCGACATTTGCACTCGAGTTCACATTGAATTGAAGTCTTCTGCAGCTTGTGCGAGCTCTAGCTCCAGTTTAAAAGCCATGAATCAACAGAACTAACATTTATATCAAATTTTGATCAGAAATTGTAAACTGAGAATAGAAACAAAGCTTCTGAATGTTGATCTATTGAGCTTTGTTCGCTTTGTTTAGCAAACAAGCAAAGCGAACAACATTTTAGCTGAAAAGTCAAGTTAATCGTCTAAAACTAAAGTCTGATTAAACTGTTTCGAGTTTGAATTTTCATCAAAACATTACTTTTTACTTCAAAGGTTGACTAATTTTCACAGCGAAACCATTAATCTAGGAAATGTACATTTTGTATTACTTTGTTGCTCTTTTCAAGTTTCCTTTTATTGTTTGATATTTTAACCCAAATTGAAAGTGAAAAATTGAATGAAAAGTCAATGATACAGAAAGTTGACCATTAATTGAATTGAAAGTTGATCAATTGTTTGGTCACACGAGTTTGTTAGCTTTAAGTTTCTTTTGCCAACCAAAGGTCCAAATGATCAACACTGTTCAACAAATTGCGTATTCAAATCAGACAAAAGTTTTACTTGAATGATTTTACACTCTGGTTCAGTTTTTCAACTTACCATTTTTACCCTGAAAAAAGGAGAGAGAAACAAAAAACAAAAATATTTCAAGTTACAAAAGTAATAAAGAAGGATGAATCCATGGCAAGAGTTGACTCGCTGTTTACCTGTGCATCTCAATGGATCCATCTGAGAGTAAAGAAAAATTTACTCAATGATGAATGATTTGAACGCAAAGGCAAAGTTGATGAAAGGCAGCAAAAAAACTCTATTACTCTTTGCATACAATTTATTCTTGAAACTGAATGCAGCAAAAATTAGGATAAAGTTACAGTTGAAGTAGCAATTGAAACTTTGATTCTCTTGACTTACAATGAGGTTACAACGGAACAAAATTTCATTTGTTAAACTTCACCAAAATGTATTATGAATTTCAAACTCAACAATATCATCATTATCGTAATCGTCCTTTTCGTTTCCTCCATCAACTTGTTTCCACCATTTCCCTAGTTACTTAACGAAAATAACTATTCCAAGAAAATCGATTCCAACCAGATTCTGAGAAAAGGCAACAAATATTTATAACAGTCAATCGTAATGAAGTAGTAATCAGTGATTCAACACCAAAAAGATTGAAAGTCTTCAGCGCAACAGATCAACAACATTTGCTTTTCTCTGTTCTTCTGTTCTTCAACTAAAAGTCCGATTTCAAGTTTTGATTCTGTTCTCTAGTTTTACCTTTAAAAGGTTTTGATGAAAGTTTTGAAAAAGTTCATCAATTGTGATCAATTAGAATAAATTTGTCGAATAGAAATGGTTAATCAAGATTGATTTTAACTTTTGACTTTACTCTTTATTTCAAATAATAATGAATGTCTTTTCATTTCAAAGTCATTTGTCAACTTGAACCATTCCAATGGATTCGTTTTATTACCAATACATTTGTAAGTGTAATTTTGATGTTTGTTTTGATTGTAAAACAAAAAAGCTCAAATAAATCACACTTTTCAGTTATATTAATACGTGAAATGAAAACAGTAAAGAGGCAAAATTTTTTCGTTCCAACTGTAATGTCTCATTTTGATTGATTGATTTATTGATGTCTTGTTATTGATTTGAGTTTCGATCCTTTCTGCGATCAAATATTCTGCTCTTGTTATTAGATTATCTCGTCATTCATTTTCAATCATCAATTCAATTTAGCCTTTAAACTCAACTAAAAGGCAACATTTTGAAACATTTCATGTAAACTTGTATTTGATATTAATATTAACATCCAAATCCCTTTGAAAGATAACGTTTAAGGTCAACTGTACTGGTCAATGGATAACAGCTTTGAAACTTAATTAAACTTGCAATTTGAATAAATTTAAATTTCTTTCAAGTCAACTTTTCTGCTTTATTGCTGTGAATATAAATTATTTGCTTTTTTCGGATAAAATTTCGTTTCATTGAATGTAAATTTGAAAAGC